CACTTGGAATTCTGTGGTGAAAGGTTGAGTCCAACAGCTAGTTGTTTTGTAGGCTCTATATGAGAAAAGATGATTTTTTTCCCCTGTTACATAGACACTTCAGTGTTATCTGCACTAATATATCTTAAAGCCTATTTCAGAGAACACTGGCATTTGCAGCAGAGCACATTAATGTCAGTATTTATTTGTACTTAGTAATTCCAAAGTTCTTATAGTTTGACATTTTAGGCTGTAGCTAATCCTCTGGACTTACTGCTCTTCCTGGGAAAAATGGAAACACTGCTTCCCTTGAATAGTTATTAAAAATATCTTTTTTAGATTTTGGATATTTGTAAAGTTTGATTATTTTAAGCTCTGGAGGAATGGGAAAGCTGGAGGAAGAGCTGGCAAGGATCACTAGAACCAAAGTTTTCTATTAAAAAAAAGAAAAACAAAAATCAACAATAATTTGCCAAGTTACAGTTGAAAGATTTACTGCCATACTGAAATAAAATAAAGGCTGTATTGCTGAAAAAAGAGAGGTCACCTTTTCTCTGCCTTGAGACATAATGAAGAAATGTGATGCTGGGAAGTGAGAAACAGCAGGCAGGGAAAGGAGAGAAGACCACAACCTGTTTTAGTTTGTGGACAAGTTTTTAACAGTGCTATACTTTATCCTTTACATTTTTATAAGTTGCAGAAAGGAAAGTCTTAAAAGATTTCTTAAAATTGAATCTGTATGGTTCCATTTATATAACATTTTCAAAATGACAGCATTTTAGAGATGGAGAACAGATTAGTGGTTGCCAGGGGTTAGAGATGGGGCAGAAGTGTATCAGTTTTTGCTTTGTGTATCTTAAAGCTCTGTGTGCGTGATTGTAAACATTGAGGATTATTTCCTCCTGACCCTTCTGTCATTATGAAATGACCTTCTTCATCCCTGGCAATATCCTTTGTCTGTTATTAACAGAGCCATTACATCTTTCCTTTAATTAGTGTTAGCATGATAAGCACACTCTATCTCCTTCCTTTTACTTTTAATCTACTTTTATCTTTATATATAAGTGGTGTTTCTTATAGGAAGCATATAATTTTATCTTACTTGTTTATCTAGTCTGACAATTTCTTTTAATTGGGATGTTCAGTCCATTTACATTGAATGTGATTATTGATATGGTTAGATTTGAGTCTGTCATTCTGCTATTTGTTTTCAATTGTCTCATCTGTTCTTTGTACTTTTTTTTTTTTTTGTGGTACGCGGGCCTCTCACTGCTGTGGCCCCTCCCGTTGCGGAGCACAGGCTCCGGACGCGCAGGCTCGGCGGCCATGGCTCACAGGCCCAGCCGCTCTGCGGCATGTGGGATCTTCCCGGACCGGGGCACGAACCCGTGTCCCCTGCATCGGCAGGCGGACTCTCAACCACTGCGCCACCAGGGAAGCCCCTTTGTACTTCTTTTACTCCCTTTCTGCCTTCTTTTGAATTGAGTGCTTTTTATGATTCTGTTTCATCTCCTTTGTTGTCACATTAGTAACAGCATTTTGTTTTGTTTTGTAATTTAACTGGCTGCTTTAGGGTTTACTGTACACATATTTAAATGATTATGTCTACCTTCAAGTGATATAACACCACTCCACATATAGTATAGGAAACTCTCAATGGTATATTTTCATTTCTCCCTTCCTGGCCTTTATGCTATTATTGTCATATATTTTATTTATGCATATGTTATAAACCCTGCACTAAATTGTTATTTTTGTTTAGTCAATGATCTTTAAAGATATTTAAATAGTAAGAAAAATTCTCTATCCCTGCAGTCGCGATTACCAGTGTTCCTCATTCCTTTGTGTAGATTCATATTTTCATGGGGTTTCATATTCCTTCTAGCAGAACTTCCCTTAGCATTCCTTGTCATGTGGGTCCATTGGTGATTATTTCTTTCAGCCCTATTTCTGAAAGAATCTATTGACCACCTTCACTTTTCAAGGGTATTTTCTCTGGGTTCATCATGTGTTCTTTTAGTATTTTAAAGATGTTTCTCCATTGTCTTCTGGCTTGCATTGTTTCTAATAAGAAATTTGCTATCACTTTTTAGCTTTGTGCTTCAGTACATGATGTCATTTTTTTCTCTCTGCTTTTAAGATGTTTTCTTTATTACCGGTTTTGAACTATTGATTCTGATGCATAATTTTATTCCTGTTTCTTCGTGCTTTGGGTTTATTGAACTTCTTGGATGTGTGGTTTTATAGTTTTCATCGAATTCAAAACTGTTCTGCCATACTTCAAATACTTCTTCTGTTTCCCCCCTGTTCTCTTTCAGGAGCTCCAATCACACATAAATTATTAGGATGCTTGAAGTTGTCCCACAGTTTGCTGATACTTTATTTTTAATTCTTCTTTCTCTGTGTTTTCATTTTAGATAGTTTCTATTGCTATGTCTTCAAGTTCATTAATCTTTTCTTCCACCATTAATCGCATCTGGTGTACTTTTTATCTCAACTTGGGTCTTTTTAAAAAATCTTCTGTGTCTCTACTTAACATTTTGTACATGAGGAATACTGTGTTTAATCCTTTTGTCTCTTCATTCTAACATCTGTGTCTAACATCAGTACCCCTCTCAATAATTGATTTATTTTTCTCATTATGCGTCATATTTTTTTGCTTCTTTGAATGCCTAGTAATATTTGATTAGACATTGTGAATTTTACCTTTTTGGCAGATGAATATTTTTGTATTCCTATAAATAATCTTGAGCTTCACTCTGGGACACAGTGGAGGTACTTGGAAACAGTTTGATTCTTTTAGGTCTTGCTTTTAAAATTAGTTCGGTGGGACTGGAGCAACATTTAGTCTAGTCTGTCCCGTACCACTGAGGCAAGACCCTTTGGAGTACTGTACCCAGTGTCCTCTGAATTATGAGGTTTTCCAGTCTGCCTGGGAATAGGCCCAGTGCAGGGCCCCGAGTGCATGTGGGGTACTGTTTAATCTGTTCAGCTGGTTTTTCTCCTACCCTTAGGTAGTTTCATCATGTGCCTGCACTGATCAGTACTCTGTTGAATACTCTACTCAAGCAGTACTCTTTGCAGATCTCTGGGGTTTTCTCTCTTTGTTGCTCAGTTCCTGCATGCTGACCTGTGGACTCTAGCCATGGTGTCTTCAGAACTCTCCGCTCCATCTCTACAACTCAGGGAGTCAGCCAGGCTTCACCTGGGTTCTCCCATTCTGCACCATGGCCTGGAAACTGTCTCAAGGCAGTAAGCTGGGGCAATCACAGGGCTCACCTCATTTGTTTCCCATCTCTCAGATAACTGTCCCGCATGGCTCAACCTCAATGTATTGAAAATAGTTGTTTTGCATATTTTGTCCTTTTTATTTTTGTTTTTTGGCTGTTAAATTGGGTTTCTGTTATTCCATTTGGTTGCAAGTGAAAATCTCAAAATTAGGGGTTTTTTTCTTTATATATTTAATGTCACTATTGAGAAAAAAGTTGTACCTACACCATTTATCAGTAAGCCAGTTTCTAAACATGCTTGCTATATTTAAGTTTATGAAGATCTGAAGTGGGGTAAAGGGAGTGGGGCTGTAGAAAATAAAAGTGACTGTAAGTTCCCTTCCTTCCTCAAAGCTTTCTGATTTACTCTTTGGTAGATTGTTGCTCTGCTCCCTTATTAATCAGAGTCCCTTGGTTCCTTTTGGAGAGAGATTCTTTAAATGGGTTTAAATATGCCACTCAAAATGTATGAGGATGTTATAAATAAAATTGTCATGGTCTTTATGTTTTAATCTATATGATTTAAACTTTGACATTAAAATATCATGGAGAAAACATAATGAGAGGACTTAACTCACCAGATATTAAAATGTATTTTAAAGCTACAATAATTAAAATATTGAAGTACTAATGCTAATATAGCCACAGATTCATGGGTCAAAGTACAGTGTCCATAAACAGACTCATAAATGTGTTTGAAACACTTAGCATAGGTTATTCAGTTAGATGGCATGGAGACAACTGAACAACTCATTGCAAAAAATTAAAGTTGGATATCTCCTCCCCATATCTTATACAGAGATGTATTCCAAGTAGGTTAACTATAATCTAAAAGTACTAGAAGAAAATATGGGCAATTCACATAATCTTGAGGGAGATAAGGCCTTTCTAAGTATGACACAAAAGATACAACCATGAAGGAAATTATTGATGAGATTACACAAAGATTTTGTATCTCCTAAGTGGTGAAATAATCATTAAAAACAGGGAGTTCCCTGATGGCCTAGTGGTTAGGATTCGGGGCTTTCACTGCCATGGCCTGGGTTCAATCCCTGGTCTGGGAACTGAGATCCCACAAGCCACATGGTGGGCCCCATCGCCCCCCCAAAAAAAAAATATCATTAAAAGCAGATTTGATATCCTTACTGTGTAAAGACTCCTAATACAGTAGTAAAAAAAAGATGAATGCCCTACTAGAAAAATGGGCAGAGGACATGAGTAGATAATCATAATTAGGGGCAAAAAACATAATGTCCAGTACATATTGATTTTTTTAAATGTTCTATTTAATAATAATAGTAACAATAAAAAATAGTAATAAGAGCTATCACTTATCATTTATTATTATTTCTGTTTGTCTGAATATAAGAACTTTAAACAAATTAGCTAGTTTAATCCTTTGAAAGGCAAGTGTACATATTATCATCATCATTTTATACATGTGATGGCTGAGACGGTACATGAGGACCCTTGCCTGAGGTGACAAAGCTGTCAGGTGCTTGAGCCAAGGTTTAACCCTTCTGAGCCCTGCTCCTCAGCACTTCTCAAAGAAGTAAATTAAAACTACCTTAAATTCCACTGCACTTCACAGAGAAGTTGATAATTTGCATAAGATCACACAATTTATAAGCAATAGAAGAGAGCTAAAATTTTTAGGAAGAAAAATCGTAAAAACAGAAGAAAGAAAAAGTAAGTAAAGTGAGCAACAAAACAGATGTCTTTTAATTTTACAAACTCACCATTTCTTTTCAGAGTATTTAAAAGATGCTTCAAAGAAGATGAAAAGTGGGCTTATGTTTGTAAAACTGGTTAACCCATGTTCAGGTAAGCGCTCCTGCCCCCCCCCCCCCGATAATGGTAACTTGAACAGTTTTAAAACGCACTTTTAGCTGAAAAGTGTGTATATTTATTTGTCTTTGTATGTTTGTTCTTCCTGAATGGCTTTTAAAGGTAGGATAGCATTACATGGTGACGAAAGCAAGCTAATGACATAACCAGTCTTCTAAGATAATTCACTTGACTTAAACGTTTTTTCATTTCTTCTTAATTTTAATCCATAGAGCTGTATTCATCAGAAATGATGGCAAAACAAAACAAAAAAATGTAGCATGTTTGATTTCTCTCTGAAAACAGATGAATTTTCCTTGGCCTTTTTAAGCCAACTTTTCCTAAAGTAGTTATCCAATATTAGCCTCCATTTATACTCATTTTATGTTATAAAGTAAAATAAATAACCAGAGTTTTAAAAAAAAAGGCTTTTACTGGACATGCCAAGATTTTGAATAGTTTCATTTTTAGCTGTACTTTCCTTATTTTGTTCAGACCGAAAAGTAGTATATATATTTTTTCCTGTCAAGGGGTGATTTTTTTGCATTAAAAGCATTGTATTTTGAGGAGATACATGTTTTATCAGGAACAATTTTACCTTTATATTCAGTGTATTTTGCTTTGTCTTATAATTTTTAGGCAAAAATATTAAAATACACTATAAGTATACAGTAATATTGGTGATACTATTTACCTCTGTGTGAAATTTTCCTCCATTAGTTTATTTTATAAGATTTACAAGGTTATTATTAATTTTATAAGGCTTTGAGTAGATACCTCATATTTAGCAAATTAGAGCATCCTCTTGGTGACTGTTGTACTGAATAGTGAAAGCAAGAGAAATCCAGTGAGCAGTGCCGTGTTGTTATTGTTGTTGCAAAGACACATAAATAGAAACAACAAGAGAGGCAAAAATTCTGGCTTCCTCCAGTTTTCTTTTCCTCAAAATGAAATTGAGTGTAATTGGCCAGTTATATTATTTGGAGCTCCTAGGTATATGTAAGACTAAGATGAGGTGAGAAATGTTTTTTCAAGAGAAGTTTTAGTTATCAGTAAAGCATTTAACAAAAGGAAGGTACAAAAAAGGTCAGGCTTCTTGTAAAATTCATTTCATCTAAATGTCCGTGGACAACATTTTGCTATACTGACTATGGAGAAATAAAGGCTAACTTTTGCTGAGCACTTACTAACGTGCTGTGTTAGGAGCTTTACGTGTACGTATTCTACCTTTTCAATCCTTATAAAAAAAATACTGAGGTAGGTTCGGTATGGCTCGCATTTTACAGATATGGAAAGAGAAGTACAGAAAGGATTATATAGCTTCCCCAAGGGCTCACGCCCAGCATGTAGTTGAGATAGACTCAAACTCAGGGCCCTGGATTTTGCTATGCTTAGAAAAAAAATTCGTGCATTGGAGGGATTCATTCAGATTCATGCAGATGCGCCCAGTCCTCGCCCCCTTCTAACTTCCTTTTTTTTTGGTGTTTTAAGAAAAGGAAATTTTCATCCAGTTGGGTGTGGCTTTCCTCACTCCTCATGGCGTAAAGCACGTTGCTGTTGTAGGGCCCTGGCCTTTCTCCTGTGGAGCTCGCCTCAGGTGTGCAGGCCCTGTCTCCCGCCCTCTGTATGGGAGGCTGTACACCGCCCTGGAGACAGGGCCCACGGGCCAACTCAGTTCATCTGGGTGAGCCATTAGGTTTGGGTAGTTTAAAAATGGGTTTTCCTTCCTGATCTGATAGAGGACTCAATGAGAGGCTCTGTAGCAGTTAAGATAAATGATGTGTACTTTTGTGTTTATTGGTCTAAGTTCAGTGAGGATTATACAGTTGGAAAACAAGCATCTGTATGTAATAGCTACAAGCTTTCCTTGGAGTCACTTTGTATAGACTGTATCTATGTATGTTTATGTTCATATTAGGAACATTCCTCAGAACTATTAGATAGTCTTTTGATATTTTTGTGTGTGTGTGTGAAAACTTACAAATAAAAAACAGATTTGTTTTAACAGGGGAAGGAGCCATTTACTTGTTCAATGTGTGTCTACCACAGCTGTTTGAAATAAAAGTTTTCAAGGAAAAAAACCATTCTTGGTTTATAAATGAATCCGTTCAATCAGGTAAGTGACTAGTGTATATATTTACATTAACACACACGCTGACTTTGCCATCCTTCACATCTGTCTGCCCAGTTTGGAGCCTGGTCCATGGTTTTTTCTTTGTTGGCGTCAGAACAGGGTTTAATCAAGGAGAAAGGAAAGACTTAAACAGGTTTAGATCAATAACTGTGTGTCTTAGATGGTAGGAAATTTTTAACTAACAATTCTGATTTTTCTCCCAAAACACTGACACACCCGAGTCAGATGACTTTTGTACTATGGAGTGTGCATTGTGTTCACTGGAAACTCTTCGCTCTTACCCATTTTTGAGGATCTTCAAGTTTTTAACATCTTATTTCCTTGCAAATGGATGTTGATATAGCTTCTAGAATAAAATAGGAGAGAAGAGAATGCTTTCTCATATAAATTACTATGGCCACCCCACCTGCCCCCAACACACACACCCAACACCCAATTTTTGTTTCTTTTAAGAGCGTTCCTTTGATTTGGGGCTCAGTGTTGACTCAGAAGGAAAAAGGATACCACACGTAACCCTGACAGTTCTGGGTGAGAGTGGGAGGGTGCGTCATGGGGTATCTCAGTTCCCTCTGTCCCTCTGTCTCTCATTGTTTGCAGAGAGTGCTTTCCATTGCTTTCTAAGCCCTCTGCTTTCTGTTGACCATCTAAGTCGCCACTTAGTGCTAAGGTAGAAAGGCCACTTTGTCTTTCTTGTAAGGCATACAGCAGAAGGGTTTATTGCTGGTGTTGAATTTCATATACCTGTGTGCATGAGAAGATTTGAAGTGGTTTTCAGTTGCCGAAATGCAATGGTAGACTGTGTATTTAGCCTGGTAGGTGCCAAGTATACATTCCTTTTTATTGTTCTCTTTTCTTGTTTTTCATTTGGCAGTATATGAGAGTTCCCACTTCTAATGTAGTATACTTGCCTTTGAGTTTGGCTGGATAGACACAGTAATATCCAGATGAAACTGGAAAATATTGAGAAGCAGTGATTGATTAGCTCTCCTGGACTGTCTGACTTGGTACCTGCTTTTTTTTTTTAATAGACTTTTGTTTTTATAGTTTTTGGTTCACAGCAAAGGTACCTGCTTTTTTCATCGTCTTCTTTTTAAACGTAACCTTAAAGAAAGAGCTGTTTTTGTTTTTGTTTTTTTTTGCGGTACGCGGGCCTCTCACTGTCGTGGCCTCTCCCGTTGCGGAGCACAGGCTCCGGACGCGCAGGCTCAGCGGCCATGGCTCACGGGCCCAGCCACTCCGCGGCATGTGGGATCTTCCCGGACCGGGGCACGAACCCGCGTCCCCCGCATCGGCAGGCGAACTTTCAACCACTGCACCACCAGGGAAGCCCAGAAAGAGCTGTTTTTAAGAATGGCTACCAGGATATTGTTTTCAGAACAAGAAACCTGTTTCTAATTTCTGAATATAATGGATGCCGCATATAAACTGAGCTTAGAGCTTCTGATTGGTTGTTTTCATAAACTTCTCTTCTACTTTAAAAAAAAATAATTAACTAATGTCATCATGTAAAATTACGTCCTTAATTTTTTTTCAGCATACTATGAAATGGATTCATGTGTATAATTTACGGTTAGAATTTCTTGGCTGTATAGGTAGGTTGCTCTGTTAGAGAACAAAAGTCAGTACATGTTTCCTGAAACCAAATTAATAAGTATGGAGATAAATGAATTGTTTATTGTTCTTTCTGATGAAATAACCTCTTCTGGTTCACTTCCATGGAAGAAGGACTCTGGGGTGCTTGGAGGGGAGTGCGGTGGAGGGGAGTGGGGCGCAGGCAGCCTAGTTGATTTGCCTTTTTTCCTTTCAGCCTGGAGAGCGCCACTCATCTTACTGCGGAGATTCCAGTTTCTTATGCTCAGTCTCGTTAGACTCCTGCCCTCTTGCATTTTCCTTTGGGAGGAGGGATGGGGTAGTTTCTGGAGTGGGTAACGACCTCTGAGCTTTGAGTCATTGACAGTTCAGAGCTGTGAGCCCAGAGCCCATAGGAGAAACCACGTACAGAGGGAATAATATTGCTTTCCCATGGCTTCGTCCTCAAAAGCACAGGAAATTACATTTCACTGCAGCTTTGTAGATAGACTTATACAGGTTTCCTAATGTTTGCCTGGTTCACATTCTGTCTATATTCCCCCGAACCCTGCTATTTTTTTTGGCAGGGGGTGGGAGGTGGGGAGAGGAGGGCCTCTATTAGAAATGATTTCTGAAGAAGAAATGGAAAGTTAAAGATCAAGTTCAGTGTCTTGGCTGTCCTCTCCACACCAGGGATTTGAAGCTGTTTGGAGTGAAATCTCGTGGACCATGTTCTGCCTTTTGAGAGAATCACATAATCTTGGGCTTGTGTAGGAGGAGCTTCTGAATTTGGAATTTCACATATATGTTTCAATGAATGGTTCCCACATTGGGATTAAGGTGAAATAACTAAGTTGTCTTTCCATGTTGTTGAATTCTCTTTCTAATCTGTAGGAGGTCTTCTTCACTTTGCCACACCCATGGACCCTCTGTTTCTGCTTCTCCACTACCTTATAAAGGCTGATAGAGAGGTGAGTTTCCCAGTTTGGGATGTTAACAGTGGGGGAACAGAACAGATTGTTTTTTTTAACATGATCTCCTCTCTCTCCTTATAATGGTCCAAATGTAGACTCCCCACAGTTCAGATTTAACTTGGTTGGTATAGAACACCTATATCATGTGTGCTGGTACAGATCAGAGCACTGATCGGCAGACCTGAGATCCAGCATTGTGATCTTGGACTAGCTCACCAACGAGTCCTGAGAACTGCCTAACCCTTTGTGCTATCTGCCTTATTTGTTTGACAGAGTCTAACAATGAAATTCTCATTACGTACTCATTAGTTTTGAAATACAGTACAAATGTTAAGACCTCAGACCTTAAGAGAATAAAGATTTATCGTCTTTCATTTTCTTCTGTGTGAGACACTGTGAAATAGGTACTCTGGGGGGTGTGTCCAGCAAAAGCTCCTTAATGGGGAAGCTGTAGTTGAGGAATCCCAGATGGAGTAAAATTTACCTTTGTGATATAAAGACAGAGTTTATTAATAGTAATAGTTCCAGCCAGAGGTCCCAGGATACCTTTACAGTTGACAATTATTAAGGATCCCAAAGAACTTTTTGTTCCTGTGTGTTTTATCTATCAATATTGACTACATTAGAAATTAAAACTGAGAAATTTAAAAATAATTTTATTAATTTATTTTTAAAATAAAAATAATAAGCCCATTATATATTAACATATGACATGTTTCTAATGAAACAAACAGTAAAAGTCAGTGAGGAGTATGGTACTGTTTTACATTTTTGCAGATCTCTTTGATGTCTGGCTTGAGAGAAGGCAACTGGATTTTCACATCTTGTTCTGCATTCAGTCTGTTTCCATACACTGTTTGAGTGGAAGTATGTAAAGAATATGCAGCCTTTCACATATGAGGTCAGAAAAGGAAGGAATTGTATATTAGCCTTTTAGATAGTTGTGGATACTCTGCTTTGATACTACTCCAAAGACCAACGAGTGGTGGTTTCTTAAAAGTGAGTTGCAATGTGGAATCTGAAACCCTGTCAATGAACTTTCCGTGTTCTTGTTAAAAAACAAAATTCAGATGAGTAAATTTTAAAGATCTTATTGGCTTTCTTGAATGATTCACGAATTGGGCAGCATCTATTCTAGCAGATAGAAAGAAGCTCCAAGGAACTGTACAAAATGAAACATTTTTACAGCCAGAAGGGAAAAAGAACAAGAAAGTTCAACTAGACTAAAGGGCGATTGGTTATGGCAAGGTCACGTTTCTTTAGGGCATGCCTGGCGTCTATCAGGCAAATGACCTAGCTAGTGCTGATTAGCAGATTACTGATTGACTGGTTTAAGATTCCTCTTCTAGGTAAGCTGAAACTAATTAAGTCTCTGGGCTTAGCACAAACGACTCCATTTTGGGCCTTCTGTCTGGTTTTTAACACTCTCTTACGTTAAAATCTATTGGATCTTTCACACATATTACTTTGCAATATCATGCATTGGTCATTTGGAAAATATTGTCTCACTGAATTATGCAGGTCTTCCAAATGTCTACACAACTTATTACACACACACACACACACACATGCACACACACACACCTTTGTTAATTTAATATTACCAGTGATCTCTTTAGAAAACTGAGTGTTGGGAAGCTTGTCATAGTGGCAGACAAATTCTCTACAATTCTAATTTTTGCTTTAAAGATCAAATTTTATCGTTGGCTACAAGCACTCTCAATCTTTCCCTTGAAGTGACAGGTTCACTTCATTTATGTTCTGTCAGTACTCAAGTCTGAATAACCATAGTTCATAGTGGTTCTTTCGGGTAAAAAAATTGAGAAAAAGGCAGCTAGTTCTGGTCGCAACTCAGACAGTCACAGTGCTTTTCCCTGAGATGATCCCTGAGCCTCGGCGGTAGCCGAAGTGCTTCAGCCACACTTGACTTCCATCACACAGAGCATTTAACCTACTTGCACTCGAAGGTCAAGATTTAAATAAAAGAAATTGATTTCGCTCCTTGATCAAGGAAATCCTTAAGTGCAGCTGGGATTTTTTTACCTGCTTGTCCACAGCAGTGAAGAGCGCAGCGGCTGCTGGACGGTTTGCTGGCACCACCCTGACTGGTGCTGAGGAGCCAGGGCTTTTACCCACCTTTACATCAAAATCATCAGTGCAAATGTTGACACAGTGAAAATGCAAATAGCATTGTAGCCTTAGCTTGAAAATAGTTTGGAGCTTGTGGACCCCCTGCAGGGGTACTGTATCTCCCAGGGATCCACCAACCACAGCTTGAAAACCTTCGAAATGACAGCTTTAAGGAAGGGTGTTATTTAAACACTTAGAGGAATCTTATTTTTGCACTCTCATGTCTGCAAATAGTTTAAGTGCTTATGGGTTCTCACTGAGTACTTGAGATCCTTTTTCCAAAACTCGTGTTTTGTATTTATATTGGTTTAATTTGTGATAAATACTGAGAGTAATAAAACTGACCTAAAACTTTAAGTTGTGCTTTCTCCTGCTGCACCTTGTCTTCTCTTATTCTCCTTCTCTCCTACATTCTGTGTTCTTTATTGTGGTTTAGTGAAGTTTTATTCCTTAGTTTAATCACGTTTCCCCTTACCTGAAGCTACTGCGGTAGCCGCTATAATTAGGGCACGGCGAGCAGTGAGGCCGGTATCTCTAAGGAGCAGAAACGGTTCTAGTCCCTACCAGGAAGGCCCTAGAAGTATTCAGGGAAGAAGATGGAAACTTCAGGTGTCTCCCATCCCTGGTGTTTCTAGGATACATTAGCGGGAGGAAGCCACCAACCAGCCTTAGTATCAATACCTGTGTCGATGCACCTTTAAAGGCCCTCCCCCCGTTTGGGGGAACTGTTTGCCTATTTCCCATTAAGACCCTGAGTCTGGTGAATTAATCCTCACCCTGGCCCTCTGGGAGGCTCTGGGGGTGCTGTGGCTGGTTCAGGGAGGCAGATGCAGAAGGAAGCTCATGGTGGTAGTTGGCTTTCACTGTAAACCGTCTTGCTCTCTCTTCTCAGATACTTAAAGTGCCCCTTAAAATGGCCCGTGAGGCATTCAGATATTTCCTCCCCTGCATTTTAGATGTGATCTCTTCCTATTTAATTAAAAAAATATTAGTATATACTTTCAAAATGTTGACCCATTCTTTGTTAAACATGATTTATTTTAACGTCAGTAAAAATAATTCTTCTGTCTAGCTCTCCCAACTATTATTAACTTTATATTCAAGCAAATTTCTTATTGCAAAACCTTTTTATGTATATATGGTAAAGAAAACAAGAATGAAACATTAGTGTATTATGAAATGATTATGCCAAGACTGTGTGGTAGTCCATTACATATTAGTAAAATATTGTTTTAAAGTAGTTAAATATTTAACACATTGGGTGATCATGGAAGAATATAGATTAAGGTAGGAATCTAAAGATAGTAACTTGGGAAACCTATGAATTATTCTTACTATCTGAAGGAAAAAGAGAACATTTAAATTAAAACATTTCTTGCCACTTGATGGAACCCAGGCGCTTTCAGGAGCTTCCTAAAGGGAGCCGAGAGTCAGTTCTGGAGCCTGTCCCGTTAAGGGAATCCTTAGGTGGAACAAGTGACTTTGAATTTAGTTTAAAGGTCCAGCTATGAGGTTATATATCTTTGTCTCTTTTTTTTAATGTATGAGTTTGTTAACTGGAGTACTTGCATCCTGACTGACTAAAGTCTTTTTTTCAGGGAAAGTTTCAGCCCCTGGATCAAGTTGTGATGGATGACATGTTTCCGAATTGCATCTTGTTGCTGAAACTTCCTGAACTTGAGAAGTTACTTCGACATGTGACAGAGGAGAAAGGTATGGCATACGGCCTTTGAAATCAGGCTTATGGCTGCCAGAAAAGCTGGGCATCTGTCTGAGAATGCAGTGGCTTGAAGGCCTGTGGAATGTGATGCTTATTCTGTGTGGGTCATAGGGGAAGCTGTCGTTCAGATTCGCTTCCACTTGTCAATATTCATCCTCTATTGCACTGGCTTGTTCAGTCTGTGAAATTTGAACCAGTGAAATATGGTGGCCTGTCTCCTGCAGGGCCAGGATTCACGAGGCTCAGGCTTTAGTCTCAGCTCTTCTTTCAACTAGGCTGTGACTTTAGGTAAGTGCCTCAACTGCTTTCTGCGTCGGGTTTCTCATTTGTAAAACTGAATAAAATCTATGCCTTTATTGATTCAAGAAACATTTATTGAGCACCTACTAAGAAGCATATGTTGAGCACTAGAGCCAGGCTCTAGGGATAGTTATAAATAAAATATTATCCTTTGCCTCACTTTGCTTCTACTCTGATGGAGACAAATGACAAGTAGGGCAATGACAGTAGGGAATAAGGGAAGTGAACTCTGGGTTTTGTGGGGATGCACAGGACAGGTTTATAACCTGGCCTAGGTAGGGTGGGAAGTGCGGGTAGGGGGGTATTGTGTTGCTTTCCTGTGGGAAATAACCTCTAAGTGGAGGCTAAGTCAGAGTAGCAGCATGGATGTATGGAAAAGTTTGTCATGCTTAGCAAGATCCAAGAAGTTCAGTGATGCATTTAGGTTAGTAAGGAAAGAACAGGGGAGAGTGCTGGGCAAGGGTTTAGGTGCTGAAGGGCCTTACATGTGTCTGGACTTGACCTAATGGTAGTGGAGTGTCAGCAAAGTTTTAAGTAGGGCAGTTGCTATTGTGTGGAGAAGCTAAGGTCTGGTCCCCAGAGGCTGCTGCTGTGGTCCAGGCAGGAGGTGATGGTCACCTGAGCTTAGGAGGTGGAACCAGAAGGAAGTAGCAGCCTCGTGTGTTGACTAGATGATGGTCAAGAGAAGGAGGAATCAAGGATGGCTTCTGGGTTTGTGCCTTGACCCACAGGGTGGGTAGAGATGGCCCCCTGGAGACAGGGAACATGGGTGCGAGGAGCAGGCTGGGGGTGACAGAGAGATGAGTTGTAGGCATTCATTTGAATTTTGAGAGGAGGAAGTGAGGCAGTGTGTGAATGTGTTTTGACAGGTTTGTAATAGCATTCAGACTTAGCATCAGTGTCTCCAGAAATCATCCAAGTAGTTTTAGAGTTAATACGGAAACACAGTGTGAGAACCGAAACAGCAGGCTGATAAGTTATGGTTATTTGGGGTTCTAGATGGTTTGGCCAACTATGGTAGTTCTTCTAGGACCAAGAAAGTGGTGACTCCAAGAAGTGGAGCTTACGGTGGAAAAGGGGAAAACCTCATTCATTGCATTTCACATTCGAAGGGTCTACTAAATTCACACTTGGCCAGACACAGAGCTCTGTTTTGAGCCTGAGGGGTATGTGGTGCCCAGGTTTTTATCAAAGCAGCGCTATTAATGACACTCCCTGGTGCTGATCTTGGCAGGAGACAGTAATCTTTTCGTGGGTGACAAATGAAGTGCTCGTAGCCATTTCTGAAAGCTAAAGCAAGTGAGGAATAATTACAAGTCATTTTCATTTTGCCAAGTTAATGGAAGCTGACAACACAATTAACTCATTAGCCAAAAATCTTCCAATAGCTGTATAAGAACAGTTGCCTGAAACCAAAACCCAGCAGCCCAAATTCAGAAATAGTATTAAAGCATTGTCATTTGTTAGTGTACAGCCTGTGTTCCAAAGCAGGAGCTTCCCTCAATTCCATTCCTTCCTCCTTGCTCACTGACCCCCTGACCGTCTGTTGAATCATTACCTGAACTCCTGTCCTAATCTCTTTCACTTCTCAACATCGCCTAACTTTTGGAAGTTCTGCTGTAATAGGAAGTGAATGCCCTATACTTGTCTTGTTTGACCAGCTCTAAATAATCAGTTTGTAAGCTTCAAGCTACTGTGTGTTTCTCTTTGGATCTTTGTGAAAAATGATGTCTGTCTTAGTATGCTCTCCTTGTATACAGAAATGACATGAAGAAAAATATTTCACATATTTGTGTTCTGCATCAAGGGGTGAAGCAAGTGATGTGGAATTGCTTCTGTTTTGATGAAGAGGCCTTTTTGAAGGTTGAGGCATTAGAGATCTTATTATTTCTTGTTTTTAAAAAATTGGGGGGGGGGAATTCCCTGCCAGTCCAGTGGTTAGGATTCCATGCTTTCACTGCCGAGGGTGCAGGTTCAATCCCTGGTCGGGGAACTAAGATCTCGGAAGCTGTGCAGCACAGCCAGAAAAAAATTTTTTTTGTTTTGTTTTGTTTTTGAACCTTCCATTATTTTAAGATTTACAGAATGTAGTTCATTAGGGGAAGAATTAAATTATGAAGGAACTGCCAAGACTTCTAGAAAATTGCATACATCTTTTACCTGCGAAATTTAACCTAAATTACTTTGTTTTGCCTTACTGTCATTAGAAAAGAAAGAAAGAAAAATTTGAGGCCTAGGGTTTTTAGAAACCTGGCATGTATAAAGGTTGATGATATAACTGCTTTGAAAATGCATGGCAAGGGAGACAGTCTTTTTAATCAAAAAATTTAAAGGTACAGAAAAACTCAGGAAAAAGCTACAAATATTTGTCTCCAACTGCAATAATCAACCAGTGTTAATGTTTTGTTATTTTTGCTTCATATCTCTTTCAGGGTAAGAATTTCTTTAGGAACAATCTGGGAATCTGATCACAGGATTTGATAGCCTACAAGAAAAATTAAAAATGTATTTGCTACATAGTTTTGAGCAAATCATTCAAACTTTTCAGCATCCTTGATCTGTAAGACGACGAGTTTGAAGGGTTAAGAGTATCCCTCATATTCTGCCATATGTTATAATTAGTACTCAGCAAAGTTGTTCTAAATCATAAAATAAAGCTTTCCTTCTCTTACCTTTAGAGTGTTGAGATCTCTAAATTACAGCATATGAACATTATTTAAGAATTGCAGTTAATAGTATCTACTATCTACCACAAAGAGATGCTTCAGGAATTAAATGAAATAATACAAGTAAATCAGTGCCCAGAGAGTGCTGGGTGTAGAGTAAGTGCTCAATAAATGTTTGTACCATTAAGGCTTGTGAACTAGAAATTTTAAATTCTTTGCTGATGTTTAAGTACTAGGTATACAGTAAGTGACCAGTGCACATTTGTTTGATGGTCCATTGATTAATACAGAGTCAAGTGGGTTAAGTAGGAGAATGGGGATAATCAGATAATAATAAAAATGTCTACCATATATTAACAAATTATTATATATCATCTCTATGCTTGTTGTTTTACGTATGTTATTGAATTCTTGCAGTAATTCCCTTTCATTGTTAGTAGAACCTGAATTTTTACAAATGAGGAAATTGAAGCTCAGAGTTTAAGCACATTGACTAACATCATAGAACTTGAAGTGGTAAAATCAAGGTTTGAACCCATGTCTGTCTGACGGCAACTCTTCCTCTTCCTTCTTACAACTGTGTAACACTTCCAGGAGACTCTGTTAGAGATTTTAGGTGTTGTCTCATGTAAAAATAGAAACTTAATTTTTTTGTTAGTCTTGTATATCCCATTAATAATGTCTCTTTGTGAGACAAAGAGAGAGACAGGAAAGGAGACAGTGGGAACTTCTACAGCTTAAGGAAAAGACAGTTCTCATCCTGGCAGTGAGCGTTCTGTTTTCCAGGCATCCTCTTTTAGTGATTGCCTTGGGTCCTGGCTGCTTGTTTGAATTAGATCTTTGTCTATTTTTAAGTTAGTATTTGGTTCCATTCTCTTTATTTTATTGCTAGGGTTTTTTAAATAAGAAACAAAGAAGACTGCTAAAGAGTGGTCAGGTACTACCCGTGACAGGGAGCAGAGATAAAGAGGAAAGTTGATGTTTTTTCAGTTCCATCCTCTCCACAGGCACTGTGCAGAGAGAGTAAAAACCTGAAATGCTCCAATTCCCCAGCCAGCTATTTTGATATTGGACTCCTGATGCTATCTCAAAAGTCTGTGGCATTAAAGATCTCGTTAAGCCTGCTAGGTTTATGAGAACCTTTCCTTCTCCCTGCCGAATAAACCCAGCCACAGTTGTTTGCATCCTGAATGATGATGGTGGTGACCTTAGTTAGCACTGCCTGCTTTATTAGTGAAGGAATCGATGTGTCTCAGTTTGCTAGCTCTGGGGCTCAGCATGCTTCTTGCCAAAAAAGCTCCCATTCAGTGGAGAGATGACAGGGGAAAGGACTAATAAAGGGTTATGAACTTCATCTTGAGTATAATACTCTGTTTCATATTGCAAGCAAAAGCTGTGCTGCGCTGTTCATTGTGATTAACAGGAAGAGCCAGGAAAACTTACCTGATTAAAATACCCCAAGCACAGTTGCCAAGTTTCTATCCCCAGGAGGCAGGGAAAAAAAAAGACCATATGAGTTTCTCAGTTATGGAAAACATTCAGAAAGTAGATGTGAAAATCTGCTCCAGGCAGTTTCTTCAACAATACATCAGGGAAATTCAAGTTTGTGAACTGATTACCCAATTGCTGAACATGTTATTTAATTGTGGACTTCTTTTTATTCCATCTTTATTTTGTAAACCCAGTCTTTCCAGATGTTTGAGACCAGCTTTATAGGCAGCAGACAGATTAGGGAA